CGCTTTCTCAATCCCTAAACATTATCCTGTATGTATCGCTAACTCTTTAAAGTCGTTGTGTCCCTGGTACACATTCTGTCTGTATCCCTAAACATTATCCTGTCTATATCCCTAAATATTCTACTCTTAGTATCCCTACTTATCCCACTCTCAATATCCTTAATTATACCACTCTCAATATCCCTAATTAAACCACTCTCAATATCCCTAAATATACCACTCTCAATATCCCTAATTATACCACTCTCAATATCCCTAATTATCCCACTCTCAATATCCCTAAATATTTCGCTCTCTGTATTTCTAACCATTCTGTATCCTTACCCCTCTCATTAACTTTACCCTAAACCAATATCCACTCTCCATAATTTGTAACATTTCTCCTTTCGTTAACTTTACCTTTAACTTTTCCTTGCTACCTCATAATGTTAAAAATTTCTCATACCATTTAAATTTAAGCTTACACAATTAAAAAAAAAAGAACTACAATAAATTCCAACTACATTCTAATTAAAATTAACAATTTATTTCCTTATGACAAAAACACGACCCGGAGACCACTGGACAAAATAATATTTACATAATTTTCTTTTCAGAAAAACTTAGACATGTGTATAATAGAGTATAGAGTAAATATATATTCAGACATTTAAGAAAGACGTTACGCAAACATATTGATAGCAACATGGGACATAACTCGACAAGCAAACAGAGCTATTAGAGATAGTGCAGACATTATATAACACAAAGGGAATGGGATAGAAGATTATAGTTTTTATATAATGTTATATTATTAGAAATGGTGGTCGAGATCCTAGTTATGTAATACTTTGAGCTTTATTAAATAGTTTCAAGGATTTGTTTATCAAGCCCTATCAATCTCACGCAGGATTTCCGTATATAATTTGAAAGCAAGTTATAAGCGTATTTAATTGGTAACAGGTATTGCGATTATCATGATCTTAACTTCTATTTAATTGTTCTGTACGTGGTGATGGTGGTGGTGGGGGTGAGGTAGCTTCTGGATCAGTTATATAATACGGTGGATGGTGGTCTATCAAAATGTTATAAAATATGTGGGTTATTAAAAAATAACATATTATTTGTGTCATATAATTTGTGCAAGATCTTGTTAGAGAAACAAAAGTTAAAAAAAAAAAAAAACTTCCTCTTTAGACCAAGCGATCCATTGGGCAGATGAAGTAGAGTTTATATGTTTCTTGACCTCGGCATATGAAGGGATGGTGTTGTCATCAATATGCACAGCCGCCTTTACTTTCCCTAACACTAGTTAGGTACCCATCAGAGCTTGGTGGACTCATGGACGTTATACTAACTTGAACACAGATTCGAACTCGAGACTTTCGGGTTAACAGTCTAGCGCTCTACCGCTATGACTCGCCGTTCCATATTAGAGAAATGGGTAGAAGGTCAACTTTTTTAAAAAATTATTATTTTAAAGTATATGACAGTACAATTACATTGTCGGTAATATCTAATATTTGGATTAATTTACTGGTCCTTAATTTTTAAAATCTAAAACTAAATACCCCCATCCCGCTTGTAAGTTCAAATCTCTGATGAGCCTACACCTACACAGAATGTCAACAGCACTTTGGTTTGCCCTAATGAAATCTATCTGCTGTGAGAGTACACAGGGCGTGCCATTGATTAACTTTACCTGATGTAGCTTTAGGATCAAAGTGGCCAAATTAGTGAACACCAGCCGCTCACGTTGTCTTGTAATGGTTCGCCTGTTCACTCACCATCGTGTGATGTCCTTTATTTTAGACGAACCATTGTCGCAATGTGCCTTTGTCTTATATGGTTCTACATATGGTAATATATGGTTCTTATAATGGTTCTACTATTCGATCACCACCGTGTGATGTCCTTTATTTTAGGTGAATCATTATCGCAATGTGCCTTTGTCTTGTATGGTTCTACATTATGGTTCTATATGGTTCTTATAATGGTTCTACTATTCGCTCACCATCGTGTGATGTCCTTTATTTTAGGTGAATCATTATCGCAATGTGCCTTTGTCTTATATGTCGCGACTGGACTATATTTTCGACGTAATGTTCATTTGACGTAATCTGCCTTTGTCACTATATTTTGTCTCCAGAGGCGTAGCGAGGGGGGCGGGGGGGGGGGGGGACATATGTCCCCGGGCGCCGACCTTAGGGGGCGCCAAAATGGGTTGGAGAAATAAATTGAAAGCTTGAGGGGGGGTGCCGGGAAGGGTCGCTACACCTCTGTTTGTCTCATTCCTTCGTTATTTTGTACGTTCTGCTCAATGATTATTGTAACACAGCCTTTCATTCGATGTTGCGTTCCATGAATGTCATTTAAGAGTGAAACTTTTATTTATTGTATTTCCTGAACAACATACACTTTCATTTGTTGTAAATGTTATAAAAAATTACATTATCATTATGTCATAAAAATATGTTTCAATCGTTTTACATCATAAAAACAATTACACATACAATCTTCATAAATATGTGCACACTCTATTGTATTCTAAATATATTTTGTCATCAAAGCACGCTTACATTTTTTTTTTACATTTGCCTAGTAGTGTTTTGATTTGAATGAATACATTTGAAGACTTCTAAAATAAGGTATAAAGAAAACAATTGAGACGTATCCTAAATTAATTATTTGATTGGAGTGCAGAAATGTGCAAACACTGACCTTAACGACACGACAACAACTTGAGTCAGAAAAACTAATCTCCGGCTAATTTAAAAAAACAAAAACTTACTGTCCCTAGCTGGTCAAGGCAACTTGTTTTCATGAATTCATGTTTAGCAATGGATTCTATTTGCTCCCTTTCTCTCTGTCTGTTTCTCTCTCAGTGTTTTTTTCCAGACTTTTTTCTCCGGTGGGGGGGGGGGGGGCACTTGAAATATTCCGGGGGGGGGGGGGGGGCGGACACTGTTAAAAGTATATATTTTCTATATAAATTCCATATCGTTTGGAGGGGGCAGGCGGTAGAAGAGATGCCTGGGAGAAACTATGTTCTCTCTTGCTTTCTTTATATCTTAACCTATACGTGTCATATTTCTCTCTCTCTCCATCTGTTAACTAAGCTCTCTTTCTACATAGCAAGGTCTCTCTCTCTCTCCCTACTTTTTCATACATCTCACATCACTCCATTCCTCTGCCCCTGCCTCTAGCTTCTCTTTATCTCTCCAACCTCTCTTTCCCTATCTCTAACTACTTCTCCATACCTCTTACTTCTCTCTCTCTATTCCTCCCTATCTCTAACTTTTCTCTTTCCCTCCAACCTCTCTGTCCCTATTTCTATCTACCTCTCACCTCTCTCTCTCTACTTCTATTTACATCTCACTGCTCTCACTCTCCTTATCTCTATCACCTCTCTCTCCCTATTTCTCCCAACCTCTCACCTCTCTTTCCCCCCTCTCTCTACCTGTCCCTACTTCTCAACCCTATCTCCCTACCTATCACCTCTCCCACCTGTCTGTCTCTCTCTCCCACCCCTTCCTCCCTCCCTCTCACCCCCCCCCCCCACCCACCTGTCCCCACCTCCCAGTTAACCCCGCTCACACCAGAGCTCTGACCTACTCCCTCAATCCGTCCTTATCGATTTTTCTAAATGATAGACACCACAAATAGCTGTTCGCTTTCAGCTGTTCTGTTGTTACTATTTTAAGCCTCCGTTAATTGGGAGAGCTTCTTAAATCAACCAATCAACCATGCTTCTATTTATGTTGTGTGTCGTGTTTTTTTTTTCATTTTGTTTGTCGCTAAATATCAGGACTTTATTTCTATGAAATAATATAAACGAATTACGTAATGGTATGCTATTTTATTAAGGATTCTTATTGTTCATGCAGTTATTCTTTCAAACCTGACGACCCCTGTAACAGGTGAAGTAGATTTCACCTGTTTCTTTGACATCAGCATTTGAAGGGATAGTGAGGTCAGCAGTTTACACAGACGCATTTACTTTCCCTAACGCGAATCAGGTACCCATCAGAGCTGAGTGGACTCAGTGACGTCATAAAGAATAGAGGCTTGGAACCGAACGCTCTACCATCTGACCAAGCGTTAACCATCCGACCACGCCGTCCCGTTTAAAAATTTTAAATTATTTTCTACATCATTGTGTGGGTTGAACGTACAATTTTTTAAATAAAATAATATACGTTTCATTGGGTAACGTGCTTTGTACAAATTCTTAATTACCCGAAAAATTTCCTATTTATTTTAACCAATAATTTGGGCTCCCACGTATCTAACTATGAGCGTAAATACAATAGCCTACTATTTCAAGTGTTTGTTATATTGACACGAAAGTAACCAATGTATACCAATATATGTTTTGCTGCTACATACTACAAGGGAAGCAAATCTGGTACCTAGTAACATAAAATCACTTAAAAATTGATTCCTAAGTTTGCTTCGAATTCTGAATAAACGTGTGTTCTGTTGTATTTTGCTGACAATGCTTATTGTTATCATAACTATAAGAGGATAACCCAACTTTTAAAAACAATTTTATATTTTACACGGTTAGTTCCCCTTTCAAGTTTTAAACCAGTTTCACGGAAAAAATGTATAATTATTTCGATAATTAAACTGTAAATTTTCAACGACAAAAAATATATCAGTTTTGAATTTTTCTTACAAATATTTAATCTGATGAAGATCCTATGTTGAAACGTTATTTATCACGCTTGTTAATTATTATATTTTTCCCACTTCGTTTTGTATACTCAAGAATAATATTTCCTTTGTAATTTCTATATCTTCTGACAACTATTTTAATGTCGATGCATTTTTTATTGTCTTTGTTTTAAAAAACAGTTTATTCTAACACTACACATTAAAAATAAATTATTTAATTTTTCCCTTTCGAAGTTTTATTATTTAAGTATCATTTGTGATCAATGTATAATATAATCGCGAAAATGCGCACCACTTTTTTACGTCCCAGTTCAGCACCGGTGCCTAGTTGCCATAGAACTCTAGTTAGGCGGGACCATCTCGAACGTGAAGTAAACAAACCTAGGGAAGGAAAATTTTATTTTTTTGTAAATATAATGGCCGGCTGAATCCCATAAACACTCAAAGGTCTATGGTCTCACGGCATTAAAGAAGAACTGATTTAGCATCCAGGGATTGGCGTGGTCCTGCATAGTGTCTCCTCTTTTCGAATTCTCCAGAACAAAACAGAATCGTGTTTTAAAACAAAATGTCGCAAAATACTTCAGGTAATGTTTTTAAAAAAAAGGTTTTGCGTTCTTGAAGAATGATTTTCAATTGGTAAATTTATTATGGGAAATTTATTGAAAGAGGGGTGGAGTGGTTGAATAGTAGAGCGTTTGACTGCCAAACCGAACGTCTCAAGTTCGTATCTCGGACTCGAGTTCTTACGACTTAACTGAGTTCACCCAGCTCTGATGGGTACCTGATCTAGAGTGGTAGCAATGTTGAGGGTTGAGGTTTCAGTTCATAAACAATGAAGGCACGTGGAATTATGTATGTGCGTATTAGCCTTCATGGACTACCCCCCCCCCCCCCACTGCCTTTGGTGGAATCGTAGATCACGCAGCTTTAACCTTAGCTTCTAGGAGGAAATTAGTGAGTGCTTATCCAGTGTTTCTTCCAGGCATTTCTTCGGGGTGGGTGGGGGGATAAGGAGGGAGTTCCCCCCGAAGAAAGTCTACCGCCCCCCCCCCCCCCCGCCCCCGAACGAAATGGAATTTATATAGAAAATATATACATTTAACAGTGTCCGCCCCCCCCCCCCTCCAAAAAATTTCAAGTGGCCCCCCCCCCCCCCGGGAGAAAAAAAATCTGGAAGAAACACTTTTTTTATCGGTTTAGGATTTGGGACCAATGTTACGATTACTATTGGGGCAAGAATGTAGTTAATCTTAATACTAGAATCAGAGGCGTAGCGATGGGGGGGGGGGGTGGGGGGGGGGAACATACGTCCCCGGGCGCTGACCTTAGGGGGTGCCAAAATGGGTAGAAAAAAGTAATCGAAAGTTTGAAGGGGGGGGGGTGCAAATCAAAAGTTTGAGGGGGGGGGGGGGGCTGGAAATCGAAAGTTTGAGAGGCGGGTGCAATCGAAAGTTTGTCCCCGGGCGCCGGGAAGGGTCGCTACGCCTCTGACTAGAATTACAAATATTCGGGCAGGAACATCAATCAATTTGCGTCCTGGATACAAAATGAAGCTGTAAACGATGCCTTAAGTTAAGCAGCTTTTGTTCTTATAGTTCAATTACCATCCGAAACTGAAGCCTTTTAGCTTTCTGATTTTTGTGTCATGTTTTGTAACAACTGGTTCCTTATTTAACTTAGCGTCACTGGTTACGTTTCAGAAATAGTTCTATTTTCGAAAAAGCAGTTATTTTGAAAATAAATGAAGTAGAGTTCAACTTTTCCTCTCATCAAGACATGCAGAAATTTTTAAAATTTGGTCAGCACCATCCACGGTAGACTTAACTTTCGCCGATACTAGCCACACACAGAGGCGTAGCGAGAGGGGGGGACATATGTCCCCGGGCGCCGACCATAGGGGGCGCCAAAATGGGTTGGAAAAACAAATTGAAAGCTTGAACGGGGGTGCAAATCGAAAGTCTGAGGGGGGAGGGGGGTGAAAATCGAAAGTTTGTCCCCGGGCGCCGGGAATGGTCGCTACGCCTCTGGCCACACATCAATCACTTGTAGAAATATTATAATATGAATGACATACGAACACGATCTTTCGGTATAGTAACTAAGTGTTCTACCACTAGATCTGTCGACTTCCACTCTCACGTAGCTTACATCACATGACCCTACCATGTGACTATGTGAGTGTATTTTTGTCTTGCATGCAGATAAGTCCGGGGCCAAAGGAGCGCATGGAGGGAACACCGCTGAGCTGGACATTACCGGAGACCTGGCCCACTTCATAACGCTATTTGGTAGGCTTTTGGGAGATGGTACATTTCATAACGTTCTGTGGTAGGCTTTTGGGAGATGGTACATTTTATAACTCTCTGTGGTAGGCTTTTGGGAGATGGTACATTTAATGTGGCATTTGGGAGTTGGTTTAATTTATGTAGCATTTGGAAGCTGGAACAATTCATGATATGTTGCACTTTTTTCTAATAAGGCGCTCTTAATGTTTTTTTTTCCGGAAGTGGCATTCCTAATGTGGCAATTTTTTGGGGAAACAACACTATTAATGTGGCGTGTTTCATTTAAATATACAGTTATTCAAGCTAGTGAAAAAAAAATGCCCCCCTCCCACCCCAGTTGGACAGAATGTTGCATTTTTAACAGAAACTGCCCCTTTACAGTTTTCATTGATGTTGAAAACCAGTTAAATCAGTGTGTAAAGCCCTGTAGTCGTTTATTAACTTTAAATGTGTAGAATTGATTACCCCAACTTAAAAAAATATTTTCTACCCCTTTTTACGCCCTCTATGGGCTGGAGTCCGGGGCGGCCGCCCCACCCACCCTCCTAACTACGCCACTGGGGGGGGGGCTTTTTTTTCGCCAACTTGAAAAAGTTAATAACGAAGTTGCAAAATCGATAGTTTATCTTGAGCACCGGAATAGATCGCTACGCCACTGTAGCTAAGCTATGGGGCATTAATGAACATCAAGTCTTTAGCAGCATTAACCACCCTCCACCCTCCTAACTACGCCACTGGGGGGGGGGGCTTTTTTTTCGCCAACTTGAAAAACTTAATGACGAAGGTGCAACGATAGTTTATCTCTAGCACCGGGATAGGTCGCTACGCATCTGTAGCTCATGTGTAGCATTAAGGAGCATCAAGTCTTTAGCAGCATCAGGGGCGTAGCGAGGGGAGGGGGGGGTGCGGGGGTGCGGACCGCACCGGGTGACACCATTTAGGGGGTGACACCAAGGCAAAAAATAGCAAAATATATAGAGAAAAACTTGAGTGGGGGGTGCAACTCGAAAGTGAGGGGGGTGCAAATCGAAAACTTGAAAGTTTTGTCCCCGGGAAGGATCGCTACGCCTCTGGGGGGTGACACCATTAAGTGCCGCACCGGGTGACACCCGACCTCGCTACGCCACTGAGCAGCATTAACCAAGTGAAAGGTCACCAACACACTGCCACCCCCCTCTCTGTTTCAGCCCTGTTTATCTACGCCTATGCCCTGATCGGATGCTACATCTTCAAACCCTCATTCCTCCGTCAGCTCGCCTATATCTTTCAGTTCATCCGAATATTATTAACCTTCGGTATCTTGCTGCCCTGTATACTCCATTGGTCAGTATTGTATTTTTTGGTATTTTGTTGTTCTGTTAATCGAGTTGGTCAGAATTGTATATTTAACCTTTGGTATTTTGTTATTCTGTATATTGAGTTGGTCAGAATTGTATATTTAACTATTGGTATTTTATTTTGTATATTGCGTTGGTCATAGTTATATTTTTAACTATTTTGGTATCTTGTTATTCTGTATATAGAGTTAGTTAGAATTGTATAAGGGGTCGGCGTGGTTGAGTCGGTAACAGCTCATGGATGCTAAACCGAAAAGTCTCGAGTTCGAAGTCTCGGGTAGATGATGCTCCTTAGCTGGGGACAGCCACTCTTCTAGGAGAGACAACTCCAAAATCAAACAACTGCTGCCTTGTAGTTTGTTCTTGGTTGGACAAAGGCTATGGAAGCAAATCCAAAAAAAAAAAGCAGGCTGAAATCGGATTCAATGGCCTCAATGGCGCATAACCAGTTGACACGTATACTTAATTATGTTAGATGGGATCCCTTTCAACACTAAAATTAAGAACGAAGAAGAAGAAGAATTGCATATTTTTGAAACATTTCTTTTAATTTGAACCTATATAATCACATATTTAATTATTGTTTTAAATTATAAGTCGCGACTAATCCCCCATGTCACTGTTACAATAACTTAAGTTAGTGGGTCGTTTATAAACGACGTCACACTGGATGAGACACCAGAGTTTTGAGACAATGTGGAATTAAAGGGGTGGGTTCAGAAAGTGTAACAACACATTTCTGCTTTTTCAAAACTAGCGTTGGAAATTGATTTTTAGCAGGTTTTTTTCCCCGCATGTTTACTTTGATAGAAATTGATTAATGTACTCAATATTGACCGAGCTCAGTCAATATTTAGAAAGGATTCACTGTTATAAAAAAATGAAAACTGCAATTTTTGCACTGTTACCAGAAAAGATATCAACGGGACAATTATTTTTTTTTCAAACTGTCGTGACATTAATTCTCAACCTCTTTCTCCAGGCAAGCTACCTAAATGTTGCAGGAATCACCAGCAAAATTATTTTTCAAACATCTTAATTCCCGTACTTAAAATCTGACGTGACATTAATTCTCGGCCTTTATCTTCAGTCAAGTCACTTAAATGTTCCAGGAATCTCAAACACACATTTTATTTTTAACTTCTTAATTCCCGTACTTAAAATTATAACGTGACTTGAAGTCTTGGCCTATGTCTCTACCCAATATATTTACAGTGCAATATTATACATAAAACACTTGTACATAAAACTCGTGTACATAAGACTCGTGTACAAAAATCTCTGACGTGACATTAAATCTCGGCCTTTATTTCCAGTCAATATAACCTCCAGCACAAATTTCTTAAAACTTCTTCCTTGTACGTAGAACATATTTCTCGTACATAAAACTCGTATACATAAAATTCTCGTACATCAAACCCTTGTACACAAAACTTTTGTGAATAGAACTCATGTACATAAAACCACTTGTACCTAAGGCTCTTATACAAAAACTCTTGTGCATAAAACTCTTGTTCATACAACTCTTGTCCATAAAAACTCATATAATTATCTTACAAAAAACTCTTGTACACAAACCCATGTACACAAAACCCATGTACATAAAACCCCTTTATACAAAACCCCTGTACACAAAACCCCTGTACACAAAACCCCTGTACACAAAACCCCTGTACACAAAACCCATGTACACAAAACCCATGTACACAAAACCCCTGTACACAAAACCCTTGTACACAAAACCCCTGTACACAAAACCCATGTACACAAAACCCCTGTACACAAAACCCCTGTACACAAAACCCCTGTACACAAAACCCATGTACACAAAACCCCTGTACACAAAACCCCTGTACACAAAACCCCTGTACACAAAACCCCTGTACACAAAACCCATGTACGCAAAACCCCTGTACACAAAACCCATGTACACAAAACCCCTGTACACAAAACCCCTGTACACAAAACCCCTGTACACAAAACCCATGTACACAAAACCGATGTACACAAAACCCATGTACACAAAACCCCCGTACACCAAACCCCTGTACACAAAACCCCCGTACGTCAAACCCCCGTACATAAAACCCTTGTACACACACTTCTGACACGACATTAAACCTCCGCCCCTCTCTCCAGGCAAGCCACCTTCATGTTCCCAGAAATCACCAGCACGGAGTTCCCCTTCGTGGTCATCGCGTTCCTGATCCTCAACATCTTCACGGCCGTCGTCGTTCGCATGCTCCTCGACTACGCGTGGGTCTGCTACTCCTGTGGGGCCTACGACACGGGCAAGTTTAAGCGAGACGCCAACTTTGTCCGGGGGTGGAGATGGAGTTGGTACCCGAAACCTTCCAAAAAACGCTGTTAATTATTTGAACAGACGTGAGGTCCCGCGAATTCCTTTGCCACTAGCTAAAACGTGATCAGTAATTGTGGAAATAAACTGGTAATGCGGACTTTTAATGTTTTGAAAAAAAACAACATCAAATAATGATTAGTCAAAAGAAATTAGCATGAAACAGCCGAGACTCACGTTTATAAAAATGAATCTATAAATAAAATGATTGCCTAACTATAAATCTGTTAATTATATTCAACTACTTATTTCTGTTGTTAAATTTATTAATGCATTTTTTACATTTTTATAGTTCGTTGATTTTATTTTACTGTCGCTGTTTTTTTTTCAACCGTCGTTACTTTTATTTCTGTATAGCCATAAAATAAATGATAATAATCTCATTGTGTAAAAATGTAGGTGAGCGCTCTAATACAATGTAAAAATGGGACGACGTGGTTGGATTGTAGAGCGGAAGTCTGATAACCCGAAAGGCTCCAGTTCGGATATCCAGATTCGAGTTCGTCGGTTGTCCTTGAGTCTATTAAACTATGATGGGTACTTGACTCACGTTAGTGAAAACTAAAACGGCTGGGCATAGGACCGATGACACTATTCAGAGGTCATTGAACTATTTGAACTCTGTCCCGATTGTCTTTAGCCCTGAAGGAAAACATTACGAAGGTCAAAAAGATACAAACATAACAGAAGAGAACTTCTTGGATAATTTTTTACCTAATAAACGTAGCATGTTTTTTTTCAATATTTCTTCGTCTTAACAAACAACACGATTGGTCTGATATCTCGTTACTATGGAAACGAATACACACGAATCGAGTGTGTAAAATTTTTATAATACCTATTTTGTTTCTTCCTCGCGATAAATCACGACAACGCCTTGCCATTAAATCCCTGTCTATGACCGTATGGTGTGCAGGCATCCCATCCCGCACTTGCTGCCAGGATTTATCCAGTGCCATGTAAACTCCATGCTCCTCATCACGTGACCGCGGATACCCAGTTATGAGCACACACACACAAAAAATAAATCCGGAACTTTTCGGACATCGTCATCAACATTCCCCACTCCCACCTCACTCCGCGCCACTCATGGATCTCAACAGCGTGCATGTTATAAGTGCATCGCACACGTGCATGTCAAGGAAAGAATTTTTTTTTTTAGGACCTCGACAGATGCCGTTCTAGATAAAGCCTTCAATGGCCCAACTGCCCGTTTCTCTACGGGGCTATTTTTATCGTCCAAATGTCAAATCTCGAGCGTAAATAAGATGATCTGTGTTCGAGAGTAGGATGCTGTTGAGTACCTGGCTATCGTTACGGAATGTAAGGGCGGATCGACATTGAACTGACCATATAATAGGTTCGTATGCTGAAGTCACGGAAACAGGTGAACTCTACTTCACCTGAACCTATTGACTACCAGGTTCGAATCGGTAATTTTAGTTTATCCTAACATGCTAATTGAAAAATTATTAATCCTCTGTGTTACGCTGAGTTAGGGGCTTTGGTTATTTGATCCAATACCATTTTATCTTAACCACTACCATATGTAGATATTGTGTTCACAGACATACATTGTACCATCATTCACTAAGACGACGTGGACGACCAACAATCAATGAGAGGAACGCAGGCTTCTTTTCTTATCTTTAATTCTGTACTCTCAACTCACATACATCCTTCCACCAAGGCGAAGAAAATCATACTAACTCACGCACAATACCTAGCAACCAGTCTCTACACCAGAACGTCACTGTCGCACCATACGCGTCATCATAACACTCTGATTCAATAATGAAAACACAACAACATAACACGGCAGAGCACAGTAAAGTGAAACACAATTATTACATAATAAAAACAAACCACTGATACATAAATGTGACGGAGTGGTCTAGCGGTAGAGAGCTGGATTTCTAACCCGTAAGTCTCGCGTTCGAATCCGGGTTTAAGTCAGTAGACCGTCCCTGAGTCCACCCAACACTGATGGGTACCTAACACACGTTAGAGAAAGTAAAGGCGGCTGGGCATAGTGCTGACCACACTATCTCTTCATATACCGAGGTCACAGAAACAAGTGAACTCTAATTCACTTGCCCCATAAACCGTCAGGTTTGAAAGGGAAACTTACTGATACATAGAGATACATTTTTTTTTATTAAATCTCGTTCCATTTAAAGTTGGTTCTTGTTTTTTTATAAACACTTACTTCGTTAGTATAATTGATTACACTGTAGCTTTTTTAAGCGAGTTCTATTACCGGTACCCTGGATATCACTGAGTTGGAGTTGTCGAGTCGGTAAAGCTCATGGTTGCTATACCGATAAGTCTCGAGTTCGAACCCTCGGGCAGATGAGGCTCGTTAGCTGGGGACAGCCATTCTTCTAGGAGAGACAACTCCAAAACTAAACAACTTGTTCTTTGTTGGGCAAAAGCTATACAAAAAGCAAAGCAGGCTGAAATCGCATAACCAGTTGACACGTATACTTAATTGTGTTGGAGGGAATTTCTTCCAACACTAAAATTAATGGGGTACCAAGTCGTGTAAACATGCTCACTCAGGGGCCTCATAGACTCAAACCACACAAACATCACAAACTTGGTCTGCGCATACGCACGTCTAATTGAATATCAATTATACTAATTTTCTCTAATATTATTTCCCCAACATACTACCAAGTCACATGACAAGAAACGAACATATTCTTCGTATTTGACCTGCACAAACGAAAATCTAAGTCCGAAAATGGAACTAACAAATTTGCACTTATGTTTTTTTTTCAAACATAAAAACAGCAGTCACATTACCACCGTTCTACTTTCAGAATAAATTAATCGATTTTTACGATGCTGGTCTATTTTGACCTAATCCCCGGTAATTATAATCACGTTAATTGTGAAACGATTGCCCAGGTTATTTCGAAACTCGCGACCTTTTCAAACTAGTCCACATTGGTTTTTTAAGTCACTCCATCAAACTGTTACATTGCGTTCGCACCCGCCCCTTTTTCCCCATTCAACGCACAACAAATTTTATTAATGTCTTTTCAAATCATTTTTTTTTTTTTTTTTTTTTTTTGCTTTTCCATGAAAATAATCCTAGCCATTAAAAATCAGACATAAAAAATAACATTTGTAAGGAAAAGGGCTTTTATTATATTCACAAAACACAAAAAAAAAATTCGCAAATGAAAAAATGCACTTTTAAAAAGAAATATAGTTTGGTGTAAACTGACTAAAGCTATATACTGGTATGACTAAAATTAAAAGCCGGTCCGCTTAATAATGAAAAATGATCATACGTCTTATATTAATTATAGAACGTACATCTATCAATACACTTCCTATGTAAGGGAAGCAGTGTTTCTTCCAGACTTTTTTCTCCGGGGAAAGCACTTGATATTTTCGGGGGGGGGCGGACACTAGTAAAAGTGTATGTTTACTATATAAATTCCATCTCGCTCGGGGGGGGGGGGGGCGGTAGACTTTCTTCGGGGGGACGGGGGGGACTAAGCCCCCTTTCCCCCCCCCCCCCCCCCCCCCCCCCCCGAAGAGATGCCTGGAAGGAACTCTGAAGGGAAGATATTTTCCATAATTAAGCGCAACGACATCCACGATCTACCACTATGACAAATTCAGCTCAGTCGGACAATGGGTAGTGGATTAAATTTAGATTACAAAATTTACGGAGCTACACACTTACTGAGAAAGCAAAAAAAAAAAAACTTTTAAAAAGACAGGTTTTTATTTATTTTGCCTTTCGTGGTTTAAAATGTAGCATTTATTCGTCTGTTGATTGAAATTAATTTAAAGCAACGGTGTGGTCGAATGGTAGACTGCTAACCCAAAAGTCTGGAGTTCGGACCCCGGGCTCGAGTTTATCCGACTTTCCTGAGTGGACCCAGCCTCTGATGAGTACCTGGCTCACATTGGGGGAAGGCGGCTGGGCATAGGTCTGACCATATTATTCATTCACATGCCAAGATCTCTAAAACACGTGTACTCTATTTCATCTGCCCCATGTACGCTCACGGTTCGAAATGGTACTTTAGTTTATTTACTTTGGTAAATTCGACATCTTTTTTATATTTTTTGTTTCATTATGTTTGCTCTTATTTTATTTCTTTCCTTGAGTTTTTATATAAGAGTTTTTTAAAATCCAAATTACGACAGCGTTAGTTTTCAAGGAATCATTGTTTCATTATTTACAACATACTTTTAGAAAGAACATAATTATCAATGGCTTAGCTTTCGTAAACAATGTAATTCAATTTGGCTGACTATCAGCAACAAGCTGATTGGTTGAAATTTGAAAACAAATTACCTAAAGTTAAACTGATTGGGTTATTGTTTAGAGTCCGGTTGAACTTGTTTTTTAAAACGTCACTAAGAGTTTTATGTGCTAGGTGTTTGAGATAATTGAATTTGTTTTGGCCTGGAGAATAGTGGAGTGGGGCCTGTCGGGGGAGCGGCTATTTATAGAATGTTGTTAGAATGTTGTTAGAATGTTGTTAGAAGGGTGATAGAAGGTTGTTAGAAGGTTGTTAGAAGGTTGTTAGGGTATTGTTAGAAGGTTGTTAGAATGTTGTTAGAAGGTTGTTAGAAAGTTGTTAGAAAGTTGTTAGAAGGTTTTTAGAAGGTTGTTAGGGTACTGATAGAAGGTTGTTAGAAGGTTGTTAGTTTGTTGTTAGATGGTTGTTTGAAGGTTGTTTGAAGGTTGTTAGAAGGTTGTTAGAAGGTTGTTAGAAGGTTGCTAGAAAGTTGCTAGGATAATATATTTTATATTTAGTTAGAATGCTGCTAAGATACTTCTTTTTCTTCGTTCTTTATTGAATTTATGTCGAAGGATTCAGACAAAAAGTCTGTTGACGAACTGGACTGTGGTATTCAGATCTGCGAACACCCCATGAAGTTAATACAAAGGGAGTGGGGGTATTGGGGCCAGTGTTTCGACGACGCATGCTAAGATGTTCTTTGGATACTTTTGGGATGTCGTTAGAATGTTGTTAGAATGTTGTTAGACTGCGATTTTGATGATGTTAGAATGTTGAATGTTGTAATAATGTTGCTATGGTGTTGCAAAATTGTCGTAAACATGTTATAATGGTGTTAGAAAGGTGTTAGAATGGTGTTATAATGGTGTTAGAATGGTGTTAGATTGGTGTTAGAGAATGGTGTTTGAATGGTGTTAGAATGGTGGTTAGAATGGTG